TGCCAACAATAAATAGTACTCGCATAAATAAAGTTTTCTGATAAAAAAAAACTAATCTATTTATTCAGAATTGTCTTGCGTCGAAAGCGAATTAAACCTCATAGAAACATCCGACGACGGCGTCATTCGAGAGCTTCCGACGGACTGACGACAGTGACGACATGTGTCACGGGGGAGTGGTGCGATGAAAAGCGAGTACAAGTGGCTGAGAGATAGAATCGGTGCAGAATCCTCGTTAATCGATTCAGAACGATTTTTAAATGTTTTTTTAATAAAATAAATAATATTTGCGTATGGAACTAAAGAGCCGCATCTGGCTCGCGAGCCGCAGGTTGCCGACCCCTGACTTAGACTGAAAGATGTCTTATCAAAAGCTTCCAGTCAAAGAATGTATCAGGAAACACATTACTTCCTGTTTTTGCAGTACTTTCGTAAATACGTAAATAATAAGTATATATTCGTTTATATAATAGGGTAATAATCGATTATTATAGTCTACTTTTATTACAATAGTGCAAATAACATATATATAGGATCAAATATACATCATCAATACTAAAAAGTGCATTGACCTAGATCAGTTTTTCTCAACCTCTAACGAATCGTCGCCCCNTTAAACTACACTTGATGCAGTAAGTGTAGTATAGTCTATAACAATAAGGTTATTATTTTTTACTTTACAAAACAAATTTGGTCTGGCAGTCATCTGGCATATTATTTTAAAAATATATTTTAAGTTTCATAACATGCTGAAGAAGCTTGAATGTAACAAGCAGAAGTACTTATTAAATGTTTTATTTTGAATTTGTGAAACTTATAAGTTTCAACACCAATATACCTACTTATAAATTAATTTTATTTTACAAAACAAACTATAGTAGAGCATAGATTATCCGACTCAATTGGGGACTCAGGTTGGTCGGATAACCGAAAAGAAGGGAAAAAATACATTATTAGTATAGTATATTAGGATAGTATATCCCATGTAATTAGTTTATTAGTATATCGCTATTAACCAACTTCGCGTTGAATTTTCATCAATGTTTAGCCTAACAAATTTTTTTTTTAAAATAATAAACGTCACTATTGTATCATTAAAGATTATTTTAAAATTATTTTATTGCTCACAAAACAACCACTCATAATTAGAAAATTGAGTCTCGTTTAAATACTGGCCTCCCTTCAATGGTCGAGCCATTGATGCCAGCTAAAACACGCAAAAATTTAACAAAAATAATATTAAAGTAGCCAAGACATAGCCAAATATTGTAATGCCACATCACTAGCGGACATTTGAAATTTGCCGACTAGAACTGTCAGTTAACAGATGTGACGGTTAATTGGGGGTCGGATAATCGATGCTCTACTGTATATAAGTATACAGTTGTTCATTCAACATACAAAAGTAATAGAACTACAGTACTATACACATAAATTTACTAATAATAACAAATATTATTAGCAAATTTATATATAAATATAAATAATATAATATAAATTTATTTTAATAATAAAAATAATAATAAATATTATTATTATCCTTAATTATGTAAATTATTATTTTTGATATCTGAACAAGGCTAATAAAATAAGTAAAAAATGTTGACTTTTGCTGCTTATAAAGTAAAACCTGAATAAAATGAAAAATCTTCAGAGTGGAGTAATTTACTACAAACTGGAAACCTATTCAAAATAGAAACAGAAAAGGGTTTTGGGTATAAAGAGGAAAATTCCATTTATAATTTTAATTATAAGTGAAATTTTCCTGGACAAATAATTAAAATCACCTTCAGATGTAATGGTCACTGCAGAGCATAAACTATATTTTGAGAATAATTTTGAAGCTTTTTGGAGAAATGAAAATCATGTGACAAGGGGACATACAAACACCTTTATTAAAATTAGCCAGAAGAAGAAGCAAACAAATGTTTAGTCTTGAAAATCTGATTCTAGAGACTAAGCATTCATTCATTAAGCAAGATATTACATTTTTTGCTTAATGAGAATAAGATAACACCATGCTGCCAGTTTACCTTGTTAGTAATAATTATAACTTCACTAGTACTTACTATTCATCTACAGTTTGATTCATTAATTGTTAACAATATTAACAATTCCTCAAGAAGCCAGATCACAAAATAACTTGTTCTCATATAATCATCTCAAAACCTGATGCTATTAATCTGTGGCAGTTAGCAACATGGTGCTTGATGTGATGTCAGGACTAGGGCTAACTCACTTTTCTCTTTTCTGGGTTAACATGCTTCTGTTTAGACTTTCACCTCACTGTGCACTCCGAACATTGTTTCCACAGTCGATGTAATTGTAACCCTTGTATATATTTCTGTAAAATGACCTCGTGACAATGACCGTTGGACTCCTTTGCTGTCTGGTATCATTCCTTCAGCACAACAACACTACTTGTGGATGTAATCGGTGACTGACTTAATCGATTTTCTTCTCAAGAAGAATGGCTTAGTGGCCTCCTCAAATCAAAGCAAAATGATCACCACAATGTATCAGGCTATTTTTTGCTACTATTAATAATTAGATTTTAAGTAATTTGGTATTAGAGATAGATGTTAGGCACATGTCATAGTGACCAATGAATATAGTTGCTAGTGATGTGCCGAATCGTTAAAAATATATATCCGCGGATACGAATACGGATATGGATCATTAGTGTCTAGATCCGCGGATACAGATACGGATCTCTACTTTCGTACTCAGTCGGCACCGGTGCGTGTGACCTTGAACCGATAGTTGACGCTTTGCGTAAGTAACGCAATGTGTTTTGACTTGCACTGCGCGTGTTTTTGTTTATAGTGTGAAAGCATGCTAAATTAGAATTCACCACAAAGGCAGACAGGATAAAGTAACAAAAGTTGATGTAATTTTCCAATTAAGCTATTTCGCATCTTTATACAGATTCTATTTCGGGGGATTCCAACTTCACGGTACAAACAGTAGCATGCGAAATTACAGCGATAATAATAGTTCGCTGTATCCAAAGCACGTGTACAATACAGATCCCGATCGCTATGATATAACCAACCTTAAAACTAACCTTAAACACTAACTTAACACTAATAACAGAAAAATGGATAGAATTAAGATGACAGAAAAAATGGTAGATAAGATAGAAATAGGGATATCGAGGGTTCCGTCCCTTTTTTCGGCTTGTTTCTTTATGCGTACTATTGGGTGGGATAACACACGTCCTTCTCCTATAACTGGCCACTTCTCTTCTACAATAATTAGGATTTTTTTCTTCCACAGTCGTCAATACGACCTTAAAACATGATCTTTTTTCTGAACTTATTTCTGAACTATCCGGTCATTGAGAATACGACTCCCAGTATTCTCATCTCGTCCGTACACTCTGCCGTCCGGTTTACGAATGACCTGCTACATCACTTCTCTTTTTTCTCCGGCTCCTCAAATTTCTAGGAACTGCTCATCCCACCCAAGGGACAGGGAATAGATAAGAAAGTTCTAGAAGAAAATAGAATAGAACAAAGGGTAGAAAGAAGAAACGAAACTAAACTAAAATTAATATTTACAAAAATATAGCGTACCGCCACAATAATTTAGTGCAGTGTTTTCCAACCTTTTTTGTGCTATGCCCCACCTAAGCCTTTCTAAAATTCTTATGTCTCCCTAACATATACAGTGGCTATAAGGTTAACTTAAACTCTGGACAAGTCCATTTTCAAATTGCCCTCCTTAGCAATCCAATTTCCCCCTGTGGGGCGTAGGCCCCATGTTGGGAAACACTGGTTTGTGGCTAGTGTGACACGAGATAGTGTAAATTACGTTTGTGTTTTTGGAGAGTGTTGAGTTAAATTAAAATAAAAACAATGTCGACAAAAAAAGTTTAGTAGTGTAATATGGAAATATTTTACGATAGTAAACGGCGAATGTGCTATTGCTACCTATCTTTAAAATTTCATATAAGTAATGAAATTCATTAAGATAAAAGATCCGTTAAAAGTAACGGATACGGATACGGATCTTTTTTTCCCTCGGATATCCGCGGATACGGATACGGATACAGATATCCGGCACATCACTAGACTAATAGTCGCCAAGGGCGATCATGTGGCAGTGGTGAGAGACGAGTATAGTCGTCCAAGGTCATCGAGGGGTATCGCCAAAAACTAGCCTATAACTACCACAGAAAATAATTCAGATAAAAAATGAATTATGTAACAATAAAAAAAGACTTTACTTTACCAGACATAACAGTTTACAAAATCCTTTTTCGATAAAGTAATGAGAAATAATGATTCAAAAAATACTTTTTAAATTTTCGACGTTTATACTCCACAACCTGGAGTAGAAACCTGTTTGACTAGTCCACCGTTGAAAGGTTAATCTCTTATTGAAATAGATAATTATAATAAAAATTTAATATTTTATTAAATAACTTGTTCTCTGTATTACTATGATACAGTTATAATTCCTGACAGTAAAGATACTGATTTTTTGTTTTCAAAATTTTTTTACTCATGTAATGGTGTGTCATTTACATTTATTTTTATCTGATAAACTTTAAAAATTGGGAAAAAAATTTGATATGGTGCAATTTACACAGGTTTTACTGTATTGTATTTAGAAATATACATTACCGATGTTTTACGTTTAGAATAAATATTACTTTTTAATAAAAATAAAGTAGAATACTTAAATCTAACCATTTTTCAGCTACAGAATTTCCAGCAAGATTTCCAGAAAGATTCAGATGACAAATGTACAGGGCTAATTATCACCAAACATCAAACCAGTTTTTCTTTATTTAACTCAAGTGTTATGATTTAAGTTGAAATTGTCAAATGCAACTGATTAGAATAAAACTACACCTGTAAATTCTGCTTTGAAAACATTTTAAAATGGTGTCATTGATACATTTTTTTACTGTTTTATAAAAATTATCATATATGTTCCTAAATCTGAAAATAATTCATATTTATAGTTTATATAAAAATCACTTCACTTACTTGTAACAGTTATTGTGAAACTTATTATAAGATGAAAGAGTTATCAATCCACCCCAAGCAGGACTTAAAGCAAAAAATATTTGCACTGCTGCATCTCCCCAAACCTATTATAAAATATAAATGTAATTATTAATAAACTGTAAAATGATAAATTTAAAATTTTTGAAGTATTTCTTAAAAATTTTCTGACATCAAAAGTAAGGATGCACCGATTAATCGGTAAGTAATCAGTAATCGGTCACTTAGCTGATTAATCGGTATCGGCCATTTCCCCGATTAATTGGTTTTGATAATCAGCCAATTTTACATTTTGGTATTTTTGTTAGAATGTTACGTACAATGCTAGTAATAAAACCTAATAAATTTCTATTATATATTTATTATTTATTACATGACAAACTGAACATTAAAAAAATTTTACAATTCAAATTATTCCTTTCATCGATACATATTATAAGTATAATATAACGTATAATACTGTATAAAGTATAAACTTTAAATAAAAAAGAGAGTATTGAATATGTTAAGAAGAGAAATTAAATTTTTATTTGTTTTATAAGTTTAAACTTTAAACTTATAAAACAAATAAAAATTTAATATTCAAACTGTAAAAGTGTACCCTTAAATTGTAATGCAAAAACATGAGAATTCACCATTTTCAGGGCATAACCTATTTTTTGCCAGCTCATAAATGTTAATGTCTCCAGTACTGAAAATTTTTTCACTTTCAATGGAAGATACTGGGGCACTTAAATATTTCATAGCTAGTTTGCTCAAATTAGGAAAAAGTTCTTTTAAACTTTTCCACCACAAAAATAGGTCACTATGTCTTTGTTTAAAGGGTAAATATAAATATGTTTCTAATTCTTGATCGAAACGTTTGTTCGTCTCTTTCGTTTTTTTTCTTTCTTTTTAAAAACATGCTATTCTTCATTCTTTTGTTTACCAGAAGCTAATTCATCAAATAAATCAGAAAAACTTAGAGATTCACCTCCATCTTGATCACCTCCAGAAGTAGAAGCTTCAGAATTTAATTCTTATTGAGATTTCCTCTAGCATATCCTCTTTTTGAAATTTCATTTTGAATCTAATAAAAATGACAAGCATAAAGATTTGTTTTCTATATATGCTGTAAATCTTTTTTTTATTGAATTTTCTAGTTCTTCTGTTGTGGTATTAATCCACTAAAGGAACTACTGATCTTTGCTTTTGATAAGAATAATTTCAGTCTCTATTGTGAGAATTATTGAAGATGAAGTGGCTTCTCGTTTGCTGGCTTTTCACAGTAATTTCTTTGAGTGGTTTTACAAGTAGAACAATTTTTTCAACGAGAGACCACTGATATGGGCTCAACGTAAGAATTTTATTATTTATAGTATATGTGACAAAGGCCTTTTGCTGTTCCAACATGTAGTATGTAGAATTCCAGCAAGTAGGAACATCTTGAATTAATTTGTGTTTCTGCAAACCTAACTTTTCTTGCAAATTTTCCAATTTGATTACAGCTACAGCAGAATGATTAACATGTGTGACAATATTTCTATTAACTGTGATTATAGTTTTCACATCTTGTTCAGAAAATATGCATTCGTTTAGTGTCAGCTGCAGCATATATATAAAGCATGATAATGCTTCTAAGTTGCAATTCCTAATTCAAGCTACCAGATTTGCTGCAGAATCTCTTAGTACTAAGAATATCTTATCACTTGTCAACTTATACTGTTCAAGAACAATTTTGAACTGTTCACTGATTCGTGTAGCTGTGTGGGAACCTTCAAAGGAAACAATTTGGAAAACAGCTCTCTCCTGTTGAAAATCATCATTCAACCAGTGGGCTGCTACACTTAAAAAAGGAAAATTGTTTGTAGTTGCTGTCCAAATATCAGCGGTTAAAGAAATATATTTTGTTTCTGTTAAACACAGAAACACTTCAGCTTTTTAAACAATGTCGAAGTTTCCATGCGTCAACAATTAAGTGTTGAGATTTATTTTAGAAACAAAGGAAGAGATTGTTGATTTTGCGAGGATATTCAATTATCTCTTGTTTACCTGACCTGAGGGAGATGGAAATACCAGGTGGAGAAAAATGGGTTTTTCCACATTATAATTAACTGTATAATTAACTCCACGATCTCACACTATTAATGCAATAAATTATTAACACTAATCGGCCAATTAATCGGTAATTGGTCATTTTGCTTATCGGTGCATCCTTAATCAAAAGTTTTCCATTTTGCATAAAATTATTAAATTCATTGGCATTATTTTCTCTGTTTTTGACACTCTTTGCCCTATTAGCACTAAGAGGGCTTTTTTTCTATGCCATGAAAAATTCCTGAGATTGCTTACTAAGATTTGATTCTGGGTCACTGTTGCATAGACTGATGCCTTAACCATTACCTTGGCCATCAAATTTATATTATAAATATTTAGTTAAATAAATTTGTAATTTTTCAATAAAACACTTTCACAAATAGAATCATTTTTTAATAATGAGAAACATTATATTTCTTCATTCATTCCAATTGGTTATTCTGTCAGCTCTAACTTGGCACCCATAAACAAAATTTTGGTTACACACTTGCCAGACAACTAAAGGAAAGATAAGCATAGTAACTGGCATACAGGTAGCTTCTCTCCTGGTCATTATGCTAGGGGCAATGACATTATTTTAAGTGTTAAACATCTTTCCATTGTGCAATTACTACATACTGATAAAGAGAAGGTAAAATAAATAAATAATATATATAGGCAAGAATGTATAGGGTTCAAAAGAAAGTCAGTACATCTCTATAACTTTTAAACCACCTGTTGTAGAACCAGGGAAGTAATTGGCACCTACAAGAAAGTGTGGCTACAAGCCATAATTGTATAGTTATAATTCATATTTTCTTTATATATTTTCCTTTGTCTTCCTTTTCTATTGTCTTTCTGGAAGTTTCTTCCCTCTTTTGTTTAACGGTGGAACAGCGGGGGACCCCTGTGAAACAAAAGGGGAAGATGTGACCCTCAGGGTAAAAAGGGGTACAGGAGGGCATTCTGGTAGAGAGTACGAGACGGAAAAGGACGTGTGAAGCAAGCTCTTGGAGGTATTGGAACCGAGTGGAAACCAGAACGAACTTTAGGAAGAGAAAAGAAAACGGAGGAGAACGAATACTGGGAAGGTTGCTTTCATTCGTTCTAAAGTGTCTAGTGAAATCAGAAAGTCCGTCGGAAAGAACTTTTCATTCCCCGTGAAACACGCCGGAAACATTTGGGTACCCAACTTCCTTTGTCTTTCACCTTTATCTCTTAGTTTCTGTCTTGTCTAAAATCTAGTTTTCACTTTTAGTATATAATCATTAGCCGTAAGTTTAGCCCTAAGATTTGAGTGTATAGTTTATTAGTAGAATAGTTATTAAAAGTAAGGAATTGTCGAATTATTTAATTTTGTTTGTTGAGTCTATGTTGTTAATATTAAGATATATTGTCCAGGGATAGAGATAATAGCTGGCATCTTAAAAATATTTCCTGTACTCTGTACGCGAATAAAAGACCTTTATATTGTAAAAATTGTGTCTCTTTGTTAACGGTATTCGCGATCTTCACAATAGCGTCCGCGACAGGATGCCAGCTTTAACGGTTTACTCAAGCTGTTAATTCATCTCTATTCCCCTTGCGGATTAGCGTATAATTAATTGTCGGGTCCTTAATTGTATACGGTTATAATAGATATTGTGTTATGGATATGAATCCTGCTGAAAGCACGATGTCGGCTGAGGGGGCTGTGTCTAATCCCCCCCTGGTTGTGACTGGATTTCTGGGGATGATCCCCACCTTTTCAAACACTCAGAGCGATTCAGTCAACATAGATCAATTCTTCAAGACTATTGATAATGTATCTAGACTCGCGGAATGGCGGGATGAAGTAAAGGTAGCTGTTTTGCAAGCGAAGCTAAAGGGGGAACCGTTAGACACATTTTTCTGTCTATTGGAACAGTACCCATCTTCTTACAATGACATCAAACGTGATCTCATTAAATGTTTTGAAAAGAAGGCTACAAAGGAAAAAAACATCATTGACCAACTCATGAATATCAAGCAAGGCATGAATGAGTCGGTTACTGATTATATTGTCCGCACAAAAACAATCTTTGCTCGTACTATTAAAAGCAATTATAATATGGCTCCATTGAGGGACAATGTAATCGCAGAACGATTCATAAAAGGACTCAATGCTCGCATGAGAGCCAACGTTTTAAGGCTCAAACCTAAAACTTTAGAAGAAGCCTTTGATTTCGCGGAAGCGGAAGAGCAGATCGAGATTGAATGCGGAAATCATAGCGAAAGAAGGAATATTAATTTAGCGGTACAACCGTCCCCAAGTAATCAGCACCATGATAATGATATAGTTGCAGACGATACAAAGACCGACGACTGCAATAAGACTCTAAAAGACGAAGTCAGAGCTCTAACTGAGGCGGTAAACCGTTTAATAGCCGCACAAGAGAGACATAGTAGTGCTCCTCGTCCTCGTGCATGTTTTCTTTGTGGAGAACTGAACCACCTCGCCCGAAACTGCCCAACACGCACAAAAAAGGATTTAAACTAGTAACGGGGTATGGTGAAGGTCAGTGCCGTGCTTCCGATTCTATAATCAATCTGACCCCCGGAGTGATTGTGTCAAGAAGAGGGCTCCCCCTCATTGAAGGCCAGATCTTTGGCCGCAGGATAAAATTTTTACTGGATACCGGAGCAGAGAACTCACTCTATGACCTAATTGCACTTGAAACGATCCCTAATAAGATGTTAGAGGGGTTAAGGGTAGATGACGTTAACTTTGGTGTGAGAGGCATTAGTGGTGAAGTAAACACCTGTCAATATCTTCTCAATGCCACTGTCAAATTCCGTGATCAATCACACCCTATAAATGTAGCATGTATCCGGTTCCCCGAGAACTTGGATTACGAGGGTATTTTAGGCGTAGATGTAATGTCCAGGTTTCCTAGTTTAATTGATGAGATAAAGAACGCTTTCAGAGAGAGAACCCCGATTCGTCTGAACAATAATAGCCCCAATTTTAACTGCTCAAACTCCACCCCCATTAGTTTACCAAATTTTGAAG